TCCTTGTTTGACAGCGTCTAGTATTAATCGATAAAGTCATATACATATATGTTCAATTCAACGAAATCCTCGACCTTGTTGAATGATAATGATGATAATCACCACCGTCTTTTCTTCCGCTTCTTTTTAAGTTGTTTTCACTGTACAAGTGGCTGCAGAAATAGCTATGCGTTCTTCACGTGCCTTTCGAAAAGTAAACTCATACCAGAGTAGAGCTCGCGACACACGCACGACGAAGCCCGGATTTTCCTGTGGCGCAGGTTCGCCTGTACAAATCGCCACAAAGCGGCCTGGCCCGTGAGCTCTTCGGCCGTGGGAAGTCACCTTACGGCCTATATTACCTATAGTTTCGAATTTCCCTTTTTCCTATATTGTCCCAGTTAAAGAAAATACTGTACAAAGGTAGGCAACGGACGGATCGCATCAAACGGCTCCGTTTGTGGCAGTGTGTCCACTGTATCCGCAGCAATCGGGTTGCCGACTCAACTACTAGCTATCGGATTACCGACGCCACTTTTAGTAGCGAGCGGACGAGTGTAACTTGTGTGTACGAGACAATGGCTTCGGAGAGTGATGAAGAACAATTTGTCGTGGTGGCTTGTTTGTTGGTAGAAGAAGAAGAGAAAAAAAATGAAACAAAAAAGGAAACATGATATCAAGATACATGACATAATTAAGAAGAGATCGCAACATGGAGAATATCAAACGCTATTTCCGGAAAATATTCTTCCAGTATTTTCGTATCTCTCACGCTAAATTTACTACTCTTCTTAATAAATAGCAAATGAAGGCATATAGACATACTGATACGCAATCCGTATGACGTCGTCGGCACGCATGGAAAAGTTGCCTCTCTGAGCAACTGCGTCGACATTACCGACAAACTGGTGCGTGTGATGCGGGTCAGTGGACGCAGTTGTATGAACTTCTATACAAAGAATACCAAAATCCTTATAATGCGATCCGTCTGATGCGTGCGCCTACCTTAATTCGGGCAGTAAGAATGTTTAAATGTAAAGTGAACACAGTACCTATTCTTGGTTAGTTTTATTGGTGTGCGACTTTAGCAGGACTTTTAATTTCAACTTATCATCAAAATAAAAATTCAAATGAATCTGATACGTTTATTTATCATATTATTTTACGGTCATCAAATACACTACAGAACCACGTACAATGATAACAATTTTAAACATTAAAAAAAATCATTTAGTTTCTAATGTAGACAGAATTTTTTTACCACAGTACAAAGAGAATTAAATTTGTGTTCGTCATTAAAATTTTACATTCAATTATTTCACTACCTAGAAACTACACGCATTAGTTCAGTTCGTTATTTTGAAATAACTACAGTAATAACTACAACTTTTAATACTTTTAGAATTTTTGTAACGGAAATAATACATTTGGTGCCTTACTCGTTAATCAGTACTCTGCCATCCTTACCTTACACGAATCACACTGTTTGAACTGTTCAGTCGATCGTTCCACTATAACTAAGGTTTCAATAACACTGACACCTAAGGCCCGGCGTACAACCGGCCATAAAACATCATTTGAACTGTAATAACACATACTTGTATCCACTCTGCTTTTGTCACGTACATTTATTCAATTGCAAGAATTTTGTTGTTAACTCGTAACTCTAATGCAAAACAGAATAGATACAAGCCTTCTAAACAATGAAGTCCTGTTTATAAGAGCAAATTAATCGCCCGTCATATGTGAGCTTTCTAAACACCTATTCCAGATAAAATGGTAAAACATCTATACTATTGCAATGTCATGTGTAATTGTCGATTTAATAGCTAAATACTATTGAACAGTCACCTACGGACATCAAACACCAATAACCTTATCTATGACAGCATTTGCTAGAGTACATGCAAGTTCCAAGACAATATAATGGACACCTTGGCTGGGCCAAGTGACGACAGGAACTCTATTAAGTGTGAAACGACTAAAAAAATTCGTGCACAGAGGTCTTATACGCTTCTTTCTTCTTTCTTTCACGCGGTGTTTAACAAGATGTTGTCTCTCAAATGTCGGTTTGTATTAAAGAAAAGGTAATTTTTACGTTAGTTTCCTCTACCTATTTCGGTGGCAATTTTTATTATTTTAATTTATCACGAAACAATATTTAAATCTTGAATATAGAAGATATAGAAAACTAATCTGAAAATTACCCATACCTACACATTGTGTTCAAGGTAGGCTACAAACGGGTATATATCTCTGAAAACGTTCCTAATGAGTTCCTTGTCGACACTATGGTGAATATTCCCCATAATGGAATCATTTTCCCGGAAAAAAGGAAGATTAATTACCCTTTCCACCAAAACACATGCTTTACGTACATACGTAACGTTGCACAGGTGATTAGAGCTTAGACTATTAAAAAGTATTTAAATGCAATAACAATGAAGAACAGATAATCTGAATGTGTATTCAAATATAATATCCCAAATAATAATTCCCTCTCAGAATCCTTGCTAAATAATAATAAAATAATATCGCATTTGTCATTCATTACTTTTAATAAAAATAAAAATATCAGAGATCGTTAAAATTTTAAGTATTCTATCTAATGCCTAACACAACACACAACTCATAAAAATTTTACATGACAAAATCACAGAGATTACTTTAAGACTTCGCATATATAGTGACATCATATTCTACATATAGATGTTATATATAAATTCAAATTCTTAACGTTCTACAAGTGGCACTACCCATGTTAAAATAAAAAATAAAGATCTTCGCATCTAATTTGTAACCACATCAGCAGAATCATTCACTGCATAGAAGCAATCAAAAGACATTACCGACCAGTCTTTATTATGAAACTGTGTTGTAACTTCCAATATCAAGTCATTTAACAGAACCGTTTACGTTATCGTCTTCGTTTTCCTTTTACTATCTTTTTTCACATTTTAATAATTTTAAGCAAAAAATAAACCGCCGCAAAATTAAACCAACGCTACCTTAAGATTCAGCTCCATATCAATACAGCAACGACACAACTTAAAATAAAATATCCAACAAACTTAGTGGATGTACTCGCGGCGATGATGCCTGTTCACTTGCACCTCATTCTCCTGGTTGATCAATTGCCAGTCATTACCTTGCCAATCATTTTCGCGCCAGTGGTTACTTTGAGCAGGCCGGTAGTCTTGTAGTCAATCGACATCCGGTGTCTCCTTATGCTGGTTGGGAGGAGCTGAAGGGGGGCTCCATGGCTGCACTGGCGGCGTGGTAGGACGATCATCACCCACTTCACTCTGGCCTTGTGCACCGTCGATCGAGAGGCTGCTCAAAAGCATGTCAAATAGGGATTCCTGTAATGACAATTTAATTTTGAACTTTCACTCGGTGATATGATGTGTATTTTCGCTAATTACAGCGATTGAATTTGCTATTTTATCGTTTAGATTCCGTTAATGATATCACGTGTGGAAGAAATAAAAAGAAATCTAAATAAGCCTGAAAACAAAATGAGCAAAAAAAAATGGACAATGGGTTTACGTTGTATTCTGAAAGGACGTGGACCTCATCATTATCGGAGATGCTGGAGACCGAAGGCCAGTAGTCGTGTAGAGGGATGCAATGTGGTGACGTCACCGCGCGCTCGGCGGTGCTCGGACTGCCCGGAGTGCCTGGGGGTGTCCCGCCAAGTACGGGCATCATGCCTGCGCACGCGCCGCATGTAGCTTTAGTTATAATAAAAATCCATTTTTTTAATTACTGATATTGATAAAAAGATCGAATAAACATAAAGAAAAATTCCTTCGATCTGACAGGCCTCGAGCCAGTGTCCGTTGCCTCAACGTGGCTACAAACACTGGTTCCGGTAGTGTGTTTTCACAAAAAATAGATGTACATATATCGTGATAGTAAAACATCACGATGTTCAACAAAAATAAAGTAATCCAATTTTTTATCAAAACAGCAGACAAATCAAAGTGTTACCACCACCATAACATTTTTAATTATTTTTTGTGAAATTACTCCACTAGTTACTTATAATTATTAATACGAAGGCCGAATACTTAGGAAAACTTCCTTCCATCCGGTTCGACTAGAATCAACGTCTTCTAGCAACCGTGCTAGACGCTATGCCTACTAAGCCACGGAACGAACCAGCGGACCTTACCAATTTTTCTATATTTATTGCAGATCTTTGTTTTTGGTTTAAAAAATAGTTATAATTATTAAACTTCATTTCACTATCGATAAATATTTTCAAATCTATCAAACCTACATGCTGAATATACGCTATTTTGTCATAGGGATCAAAATGCTCGTGAAAATCTCAGATTAAAAGGAGACTAAATAACGCGCCTGAATTTAAATGGATCCAGCTCGCATGTTTAAAAGATAAATACCTGGTGGGTCGTTAAAGCGTCCGTCATCAGGGTTTCGGATTAGATTAGGCGGGCGCGTGTTCTTTGGTGTGCTGGGGGAGTTAGGCGAATGGCCGAGGAGATTTCTGACAGGTCTGCAGCGACTGTTGTTAGCACGGATTCCGAGCACCTCGCGCCGAGTGATGCGCGGTACAGCCTCACCGCGCACATGAGGTGTTAAGTAATTGTTGTAGTATGTCGACGACGTCGGCATCGCTAACTCTGTTTGAGTCCAATGACGCTTTGGACCTGAAAATATTTCTTAAGTCATCCACCTATGTTTCAATATTTGATATTAATTAACAATGCAAAAACATTTGAATTTGAAGCGACATTAACGACAACTCCATAATCCTTACTCTAATACACTTAAGGAACGTCTACATCGATGATTCCCAAAGTGGTCCATATATCGAACCCCAGGGGGCCCATTTCCACCAACAAGTGGTCCATGTCAGCATAAAAAAAATGGAAACAATAGATGTTAATGGGAGTCACCCACACGTAGTGTATTTAGGCAGGTCGTGATCAAAATTTTGACTTTCCATAAACGGAATAATCTACATTATAGTAAGGTCCAACCATTTATTTTACCAGTGACACTTTCAACACAATATTAGATAAAATGGGGTAACGTGCGACCTCGACGGAACAGTGAACCATTAGAATTTATTAAAATTATTTCAAATTTAATTGTTTTTTTTTTAAAGCACATCAAGCTTGACACTTTGTACTTTGGACCATTCTTATCGTAAGCGGCATAGTTGGATTTATGTTTTAAATGTAAAGTTTGACATGCTCTTGACCCTGTACACAACAAAACCTACACAACTAAAAAATCAACTAGAATAATCTTCGTTACTATGTCTGCTTGAATATCGGAATCGGAGCTAGAGCTAAAGAGATTTCAAGAAGCTTTGCATTTTTTTGTCTGGTTGCTCATCAATAATTATGGAACTTCATAGGCACGCTTATGTCAAAAGTATAATATGGTTGAACGGAGTATAATTCCTACATAATTAGTAACAACATACATCCATAACACTTTCTTATATAAAAATTACCTATGAATAAAACATTTCATAACAAACAAGATGTTCGGTAAATTTTGTATAAAACTTAAATGGTATTTTTTGTAAAGTTTCCGACTGTACAATTAAACTTATCAAACTGAGTACTGCTATGTCCGTTGCCAAAAATACATTTGAAGTTGATGAGTTTGTAAAAAAAAATCATGTTAGATAAGTAAGCAAGTCGACGCAAAACAAAAAAAAAATAGGTAGGTGGTGTACGAGAAAAAAGTTTGGGTACCTCTGGTCTACATGGTTGAGCTCCATTGCGAACTCATTTATGTTACTTACACAGTCCACATGCACATAAACAAACCTGACTTAAGCAAGTTTACTGGTAGAAAAGTTCGACCAAGTCTTGCTCTATCTCATACACAAATTCACTAACCATGTTTGGAATGCTTTGGTGTCAACCCGTTCATGCGCATCAAATTGAGCAATAACATATCCGTGTGCGCCGCAGTAGATAATTGAGGATCGTTTTCGTGACGTAATTGCGGCGAGGTATGGGGCGGGACAGATCCGTCTGTGCCTGCCGGGGTCCTTTCCATGCTGTGGTTGCTCCGTCCATGGACAGCACATAGCAAACGGCTGAGGATATCGGATCCCTCCACGTCCTCGGTACCGCCGACCGCGCCTTCAATGTCGTTCTCGCCTGCGGAAAGAGAAAGAATTAATGTGATATCGTATGTATGGAGTTACAACGCTACTCGACGGTTTCGAGGTTTGGTTAACTTTCAAAACGTGCTTAGTTTTCCATGGTGCCAGATTTGATTATTCAAGGTGTTATTTTTTATAATGCAAGAAATATGTAGTTAATTTAAGATTGCTCTGGAGCACGGCACTGCCCCCCCTGGGGCCCGTCCATACAAGGTAATAATACTCAAAACTAAATTTTCAAAATATGGGTATTTAAAAATATATACGTATATATTAGCACAGTCGTAATAAAGTATCAAATCACGCATAAAAATACTGAGTCGCTAATTAATGTCTATTGTGAAGCTCAAAGTTTGTTTTTTATGCTAAATAATAATTATTATTTTGTAACGTACTTGAGTTTCCGTGCAATCTTTAGACATTTATTTTTTTACGTTTGATATTTGTGTTTATATTTTAGTAGCAGTAGAGGTCCTTGTGGAAGAGTTCAAGGAAGTACTACCACCTTGCCTATTTCTGCCGTCAAGCAGTAATGTCAGCATTACTGTCTTCCGGTTTTGAAGGGTAAGGGTGGTGAAATTACAGGCACATGGGACTTGTCAACTTATGTATCAGGATGACGGGCGCAGTAGCCGTGTATCTCATATTTGCGATTTAAAGCTCTGAGTGGCACTGCGCTGTTATGGACAGAAGTGTAGTGTACTCTTACGTGCATATAATATTTAAGTGCATTATGTCAGTGACCAAGGAAGTTATGTTGAATCTCCTAAGTAATTTTATAAGTTTATCTGGTACTTTTATAAGTTTATCTGGTACACGGCCAATAATTTGTAGTAATTTGTGTTTGTGTAATAATTTGTATGGACGGGTCCCAGTGTCTGCCCCAGCTAAGTACAGTGAACTTCACCTTTATCAACACATACATGTACCACTGCTGAGCACGGGTCATCTATAGAGTGAAACTACATAATTATGCTACCGTTAATAAAAATGTTAATACATATATAGGATTTAGGAATTTTGAAAGTTACTCGAAATGGCCGAGCAGCAAGACATTTACTTACTATTGCTATGAGTTTTTTGTATTGTATAGTGTACGAGTATTAACAGAACGATATTTAATGTTTACTATTGATTTATTAAAACGGAACAAAGTTGAACCACTTCCTGGCAATTCTATAAATAAAGCAGTTTTGAGAAAAAGAAATAGTAACATATCAACAAAGCATTAGTAATTTTGGTTGCTTGTAATGTTTTATTATCGTAAAAAACTAACGTCGAATCAAGTACGCGTTACAGTAATCCGCTTTGTTATCCTTTTCACTGCATATAATTATCAAAAAGGACAACCACGTTTATTTCTAATTCGATTACGCATTACATGTTACAATACCAATGCTTTGGCAAATCATATTTGTATGTTCAAATGTGGGTCTTGAAAATCACTCTGTTTGAAACAAGCTCTATTTATTATATTATATCTTTTGTTTGCTCGAGAAAAGTCTGTGATGCCATATTTCTCTTTATGACAGTCAACCCATATCTAACTAGTGTAACGCGATCTAGAACACTTTGAATAAATGTTATAGCATAGATTGAATTCGGTGATAACATTATATGAAGCAGTTGATGCAGTTCTGCAGATAGAAACATATACATTTTAGCGCATTGCTGACTAATGTTAAAATGAATGGCGTCTGGCAAAAGACACTTTTTGACGCGTTAAATTGTCTTAAGATCGCCTCCCGCGGTCCGTGATATAAACAGATTTCCTCGCACTGCCGACAGCCACACACCGTCACCCCTTCATATTAATAATTAACCAAATGCAGTATGACAACCAATCGCGGCGCTCCGCCCATTTTTTTGCTATGCATCGATAAGTGCACCACTATGTTACCACGGACGACCCTCTTCCCTTAGTGAGCGGGTGCGAGCTCGTGCGAGGTGGTATATAAAATCACGGACAGTGAGACGCGGCCTTTAGGCGTATATTCATCTTTTGCATAACTACCTCCATGTCTGCAGAAACCTAAACAATCTATACTAGTAGGTATATAGTGGAAAGTACACATCAAAAAACCTCTTTCCAAAAAACTTGGCGCGATTTTTACTTTCTTTTTTAATATTTTTCTATTTTTGTTTCAATTACTTTTAAATTTCTACATCACCTGATCAAAAAGTTTCATTAGAAAGATATCTTATGTTTGTTCTTTCGTTCGACTCGTGTGGCTCGAAACATGTCTCATAGGAAGAATCAGTTTAGAAACATATTCAAAATTGTGAAAATTATAAAGTAATAAGAAGTTTACAATCAATACTTTTAGTAAGGGCAATTTTTACGTTCCGCAAGGAACATTACGTACCGAAATCTTTACATGTGTACAATTGTAGAGAAATAAAGTTAAAACACAAAAACCCTTTGGGTAATATTGGAAGTATGTATAAATTCAGATGTAACAAGTTAAAGTTAAACTTGTACTTGCGAGTGTCGTTAACTTAAATTATTTGCGAAGTATGTGTGACGTAATTACTATGTCAACCTTTCCGGACTGATACCAGTGGCATTGGTTATTCCGAGTAAACAATGTTTAATAATATATTTAACATTATGCATCAATTTGAACATCACAAAGTAGATGGCGGACCTTTTCGTTGTCGATGTCTTTTTACCTATCATTACATTCTATTTTATTAAAATTGCACAGAACTCGCGGCACAAAACCGATCCATGAAGACTATCCCCTTATATTTTACGACGACCTCTGGGAGATCACGACAGGCAAATGGAACTTCCTACAGAAAACTTTTAACGTCGACGTTAAAGACGCAAACAACGGAGGTCAAAAATATTCTCGTGAAATAAACGAAGGCGTCGAGCGGGAGCCTCTCGGATTCGCGAACTAGGCGGGGTTTACAGCGGACGCGGGGGAGTGAGCGGGATGGGGCTAGATGTCGGCGCAACTGTGACTGTGGTTGCGGTGGGCGGGGTGCGGGGCGTGCGGGGGGTGCGGTGCGTGGCCGTGCAGCGGCGCGTGCGCATGCGCGTTGTGCGGCCGCGCGTATGGCTGGTGGCGGTGCGCGGGCGCGCGCCGGTACGCGCAGTACGCGCGGTGCGCCGGCGACTCCTCCGAGCACAGCGACGTCGGCGACTCCGCCAGCCCGCACCACTCGCAGGACCCCGACGCCGACGACCCGTCTACGGCACGAGGGCAGGGCGTTAGGAAGGACGGGAGCGAAGGGCGCAAGGAAAGGAATCGGGAGACCTGTGCTGGGCCTACTCTTTGCCTGCTTACCGGACATGGTTTCGTCGTCGACGTCGTTCTCTTCGTTGGAGTTGTCGTCGACGTTGTTGGCGTTGTTCTCGTCGGCGAATACTTCCAGTTCGCTGAACATTAAATCCTGGAAATTGTTGTTATTTCAGCGTTAGCCACGTATATATGGCCGTTACAATCATAGTTACGTCACAGTGGCAACTTTAGAGTCATTCAGGTACGTGGTATTGTTTCTATATTCCGCCAAAAATGGCGGCGGCCAATGTTAAATTTGCCATCTTTTACTTTACAGGGATCACTATTATAAAAATGCAACAGTTAATGATATCGTCGTTGTTTCCAATTTCCAAAACAGAGAAACGTATGTGACATTGTCTAATGTTTCTTTACAGCTAAAAACAAACAATATGACACAAAAAAATGATCGATAACTATTTATAATAAAAGGAAAAAGAAAAACACGGTTTTTGAATGAACTCATAAACTGGCTCGTCGATGTTCACTGTCGCAATAAATGTTGTCTTCTGTACCTGTCTGCTCACAATGCTTAGGAATTACTAATTATTTTTCATCTCAATTGCTCGCAAAACAGAGTCATGACATGAAGGCAAACTCAACCGTAATGTCCTAAATTATGCACACGGGATTTTATATTTCATTATCGTCAAGATTAAGCAAAAAGTTTTTATGCTCGAAAAATCTGAACGCATATCTCGCATAAACTCGAAGCATAAAGAAAACTAAACATTTGCAATGTAACTATATTTTACTAAATTTACTTATTACAGTACTTTTAGAATTTGGAATTTATTTATTTTATATCTAATACATTGCGGCTGCATGTGTCTGTGCCTTCTTTTCTAACAGTTCGAGTTGTATTATCTATGGAAGAATAGCTGGCAATCTGTATAAAAAAAAAATAAACCCGCCACTTGCAAAATCCGTAAATGTGTTGTGAAGCGATATTTACATACAAAAAATAAATGTGATGGAAAACATTGTATGTATAACGGGCGGTAAAAATTACAAACTCGATTCATTAAAGCCTCTAACAAACTCTCGTTGGTAATATGTAAATAATACACAATGTACTATAATTTCCATTAGTGGGGAACTATTTACGTACTGTTGTTAATTTAATTTCTATTGACGACCTGGAATGACTTCCTCACACTCACAGTACAGGGAATTGTCTGTTATATTATTAAACTGTATAACTGTATTCTCTAAAATAAATGTACAAAACTCACGCCAGTGTCACTGCTCGACTCGGAAGCGGCATGCACTGTCTGAGTGGCATTGGGGCTCTCGAGCTGGCCCTCACTGGGAGGGTCTCCGGAGCCTGCTGCCTCGTTTTTATTCCTTCCCACATTCGTGTTAAGTTCGGGGGACGATATGGACGAACATAGCTCGGCGTTGTTTACTGCAGCTGATACCTCCGTCACGGGTGAACTTGCCACAGCTGCGTAGAAGATGAAAGTCGTATTAAAACAACCAAAAACTAGGACTTAGCTTTTTTACTGTTTTTTATTGAATATCATCTTTTTACTACATAGATATTTATTAATCTATTCTTTGTGAAAATATTAAATTAATTTGTTATTATTATTGATAAAAAGATCGAACATAGAAAAATATATAGCCACGTTTAGGCAACAGACACTGATTTGAGTCCATTCGAATCGAAGGAATTTTTCTTCGTCTGTTCTATCTTTGCATCGATAATAATAGAACTTAGTATTTATGACATCCCCTCGTCACATTGTTAGAATAAAAAAAATTTTGGCTATGTAATAATCTTCTTTTCATGCTCCTGTTCTAGGCCAAATGACCAAATGCGCGCAAATGTCCAATGCGTCGCTACTAATGATATGTTGAAACATATATATGCTTTAGACGAAATAGAGGACATTGTTAATTAAGTGAACTTAATTAACAATGTCCTCTATTTCGTCTAAAGCAAGACAATCAGAATTTGTTGGACACTTCAACTTGTAAACAATTCTCTCGCTCTAAATTTCGCGTCGTTGAATCCCCAAGTCGCAAAACCCGTGTTGAAAACCAATGCAATGGATGCGCGTCCGAATTTATAACACTCTACTAAAAAATATTAAAGCAGTACCACATAATTTATTCAGAAATAGACTTAGTGCATTGCTTAGAGATAAAAATTATTACAAACTGATTGATTTTAGATAAATGTTGACATAAATAATGATGTATAATTTAATAGTTTGAAATTGATGGTTATTTTGTTGGTATTAATTGGCTGATTATACCTCGTATATGTCCAATGACAGTGTTATAATTAAATTCATTTTAAGTAAAATTTTGCATGCCTAATCACGTAAAATATGTCTTCTATTAGAATACTATCTTCCATATTTCATTTACCATGTTTAAGCAAACAAAATTTTATTTCATGTCCAACGTACTTTAACAAAAAAAAGCAAATCGACTATGTGCCAGGTGAAGAGTGACCAAACCGCGCAAACGCATTTAAGTTTGTTTTTTTTACTGGTTTTTATTGAAGCTCTTACTTAAATATTATATATAAAGTAATGTAGCATTTTAAGAGATATAATTTAAGAGGTATAATCTGACTAATTAAAATACAAACTACAAACATTCTGCCGCCGCTAGTTGAAAGGGCACTTGTGTCAAAAACCCAAAATCGAGAAATTAATGTTTAAAGAAATGAAATTAAAAATTATCCACTTTTCTCTTGCGGTAACTTACAATAACAATTTTTTTTTAAATGTTACGTGCGCCCTTTCAACTAACGGCGGCGGCAGCATTATTGTGTGCACTATACTTTATACAACATTTTTATCTTCATCCTGAAAAATTACATGGAAATAACGTACGAAGCATTTACTCTACAACGATTAATTTGTTTGCTTGTGCGCAATGTCTCACCAGTAAGTGTGGATTCCTTGTTGGGCACCTGTTGTTTGTCATGTCGCGGCTGCCTGCTGGCCAGCTTGCTGGGCACGCGACTGGGCGCGTTGGCGGCGGACAGCAGCGTATGCAGGCTGACTAGCGCCATATTGTCCGCCCCCGACACATGTAAAGAGTTCGCCGACCTGCGATCCCGAATCAGTTGTGATCCAACAGTGCAGAATGGCAATATTTATACGACGCAAGTATTTGTCGTTACTTACATGGGTGGAGTTAATAATAAAATGCCAATAATAAACTTCCAGTTTTATATATTTTTAGTTATTTATATATAATTTGCAGCGAATCATCATCAACAACGTCAACACATTATACGTCCCACTTCTGGGCACGGATCTTCTCTAAGAAGTTTTCTAAGGGTCGTGAACCTGCTTCGATAAACAGGTTTCATCACAATGTTTTCCTACACCATTAACGAAAAGTATTGCTGCCAAAAAATCACAATAATACGTATTAAAAAAAATAAAAATCACAGCTGGTACAGAGATTCCAACCATAGATCTCCCAATTGACAACTGTTCTCCTATTTCAAAATGTAACGATCGAGCATAATTAAGGCGGATTCACAACGCACAAATTCTGGCAATATAGTGCCGCAATATATCGTGTTGCTGCTGAGCTGTCGTCGCAGCTTCTGATTGTGCAACTCAAGGTAATATCGCGCAACGCGATAAAGTGTGGCTATATATTGCCAGAATTTGTGCATTATGAATCCACCTTTACTTAGTTTTAATGGTAGTCGAACTTTGACTTCGGCTCAGAAAAAATAGCGACATAAGCAAGTACTTTTAATTTATAAAACGAACTGTTTTTTTTTTGTTTTTCTGATAAAGATAAGAATATAATTAAAATATGCATTTGTTATTAAGTAGTTTATTTATGTAATAAATACATACCACATCTTTTATACAGAAACTTTTAATGTATTTTAATCAGCCGTTTTTAAAAATACTTCCCTTTTAATTTAGTAGAAAAAATATAAAAATATTGTAACTCCATTACACTAATTTAAATTTAATAAAAACTTAATATTTTACTCATGAATCGGGCAAATCGATATTCGTTTTATAAATCTAAACCTTAGACCACTCACCTTGAGGTAGAGGGCAGGTTGTACTGCGCTGCGCTGGCGGAAGTAAGAGGCGCGGCGAGGCGGCGGTCCAGCGCCTGCGCATAGTCGCCATAGCCGAAGCCGGCACCTCCCGCCACGGCTGCGCAAACGTCGTTGTTGCGCGTGTCGTCCGCGAACATTGCCGTGTTCAGCACGCCTGCCCCAAACAAGATGAACATTGTGTATTATTGAATATCATGGTGTGTTTACTGCCACGTATTCATATATTTTTCACGAACATTTTAATACTTGACTCATGAATAGGAGTAAAGGGCAAAATTGTATTAAGTTGTGCCTTTTTTGTGTTATTATATTGTAATTGAACTACAATATAATATATATTTTATATTGCCTATGTTCAGCTGTGGACGTCTTCCGGCCGACATGATGCTGATGATGAATTGAACTACATAATAAGGGCACAGTTCCGTACATTACTGTATAAAATCCCTTGATATTAGCGTTTCACACTTAACAAACCTCAAATATGACTTTTTATAGTACAAAATATGATTTTTGATGTCAGTACTACATAGAATCGAAAGACTAATGCCGCAGATACCGGTCAGATAACGGTCGCAGCTAGTGTGAAGCCGTATTCGTTGATTTGGTTTCTATAGGAAAAGGTATCTTCAGAGGGCTTAAAAGTTTCAGAACAAGTCGTTAGTTGATTGATATCTTTACACGGATATTGAGACTTAGTGCAGAGAACAGATTGATCGGTGCGCTATTACGTAACTTACTTGGACTTGTAAGCCTTTGGCTGCTAATAACGCTGTGCGGGGTGGTGAACTTCCATTGTCCGTACACGATTGAATCGCTAAGGCTGTTTCCATCGACTGGATTGTTCTGCGAGGGATTGTCGGCTTCGTTCCCGTTGTTGTTGTTGGATTGCGTCGGGTTAGCGCTATTAGGCGCGGCAGCTCGAGTCGCTGCTATCGAGTTGCGAGACATCTCTAAGGAGAGACGCTGAAAACGAATATTGTTTATATTAGAATATAAGAAACATTCAAAACATATACGGTCCGACTTTTTAAAAATGGAGTAACATGACAGTTCATTGTGCAAAAGTGTTGCCCGCTTGCAAGTAGCTAGTGGTTGCAGTCGATAAACATTACATCGACTATCGACTAAATGTTGGTTACGCTTATGAAATAAATAGCCGAATTTGTTTCATTTGAATCACCATCGGCCCATTATTCGTCCAACTACTAGGCACAGGTTCATGTCTATAGGCAATTTTTGTAAATTCTTACATACGTACACAAAATTTAGAAGTATGTCTATTAAAAATACAAATAGGAGACATATTTTCAAGTTTTCTATTTTAATTTAATATACATAATCAAATCCACCTATCGTTATTAAAATGTGCATGAACAAAAATTGATATCGATATTAATAGACCAACTGTCAAAATAAGAATAAAGAATACAATAACGCAATCAGTAATCATTAGAACGTCACGACGTCCACAATTCAGACATTGCCTCCTGCTTCCGTGGCCGAACGGTTACCATGCCGGACTGCCACGCAGAGGTCCCAGGTTCGATTCCCGGGCCGGGAGAAATATTTGTATGGCCTACATTTATTTCTCTCGTGAGTTTGGGTGTAATTTGTGGTTGTCTATGTGTGTGTCCATGGCACCCGCGACACAGGGTTTCCCTAGTGCGGGGCTATGTTGATTGTGAGCGTTATTATTAGAAAATAAAAAAAATAAAAATAAAAAAATAAAAATAAAATTTTTGGCAAAATTTTACCTACTTTCACAATATATTGATAAAACTGTCGACAACATCTACATGACTATTTAACATTTTACGAAAACTGGCAACCCTGCAAATATCATTTTACTCCCGGCTTCAAAAAACACATACTATAGTTAAAATTTTAAAACAGTCTGTACAAAGCAATTTACATGATAATTTTTTTATTTCAAAATCGACAACAATTTTTTTCTATCCTTTCACCGTGTTCGTTGCCGAGTCCTCCTCAACGACAGTTCAAATGCAGATGAAAGTCCACGTCAAAACTAATCACATCAGCCCAAACACAAAGTAGGTGCTGAACACTGTCGAGGAGTTCCTCTCATCAGTCTGCCATATCCATCATCAGATCAAGCAAGGCCACCATAACATTTTATTTTAATTGGAATTACACCTATGTGCCAAGTTTTATTAAAATAGGTAAGCGGGTGAAATTCAATAAACCAGATTAGAGGTAGAATATTCTTTTCAAAATTTAATGCCCCTCAGATCTTTGAGATTTAAAGCTGGTGAAATTATAGGCACATAGGACTTGTCAACTAATGTCTCAAGGGGACGGGCACAGCGGCAGCGCCTCTAAGATCTTTAAGATTAAAAGCCCTGAGTGGCATTGCAGCTGTTATGGATGGACGTGTCGCTTACCACCAGGCGCACAACTTGTTCGTCTCGTCGAATTGTGCTCACCATTTGAAGCTAAAAGTATACTGCAAAACTGGTTGCTTGGCTTGACTTACGATTTCGTCGAGAATTTAATTGTTTACATTGTGAAGCAAGGTTCATATGAACTCGTACATTAAAAAATTCCCGCGCCCGGAACGCTTCCGCGGCGGTGTCTGTGTGGCCAGAGCATAATAATAACAGATAAATTACCTCTTTGAGATCATTGATTTGCAGAATGTGCTGGTTCTGCATTGTGATAAGCTGATTGATGTACCACTGCTGGTCGCGACAGCGCTGGTAGAATGTTGGTGGACGCACTTGAAACCTGCCAAGTGTATCCAATGTAATTTAAATAACACATCGGGGGATTTATATTGCAATTGTAAAAATCGTTCACCCCACAGGATAGACAGCCTAATGCGTGGTAAGTTATATCAATATACAATACTTTTAAACATGACATAACGTTTGCAATACTTCAAATTAAATATGAATAATAACAATTTGCCAAACAACACACCCCTATCTTGTGAATATTGACCATAGTGAACTCCGGGACATTACCCAAAACACAGACCACAACAAACTTCAAAAGTTCAATCCAATTTATGTTCATTCTCGCTCAATACAATTTATGATGGATCGTGGCACAATAACAGCGAAGACTATGTAATTGGCATAGTCTCAGATTTTTTTATTTGAAATTTTTGAATTTATTTTAATTATTTTTTTTTTAACCTATGTAGATATTTTCCATGTCAAATTTACACATCTATCGCCCAGAATACATACAGTTGGGCCATCGAGGTCGTCGAATTGTATGTACTCGTATGTATGTATGTAATGTAATCGCTAAATGTAGCTGTGTTATTTTTTCATTTCCAAATTATGCTACATTTACAAAAAAAAACATAAAATAGATAGAGAATATTTCCTACCTATTCTGAACGACAATAATGCCGTAACAATACGAGTAATTACCTGAGTATAAGTGTGTCTGTTTCGGGGTTGAGGTACCCCTCACTAGCGAGTAGATCAAGTCGGAAGAAGCGGTTGTAGCCCCAACATTCGCCGACCTCGAAATCGGAGGCGAATTCGCGCACGATGTTCTTCGAAGGATCGCGAGATACTTGATGCAGCATCTCCACGCGGTACTCGTACCTACGTCGATAAAACAATTTAAGCCTAATGATATATCCCAAGCCTTAAAAACACTGATTAGACTATTTATATATTCGGACGGTGTAGGGTAAAATACGCGTGACACAAATAAGGTCCAAAGAAATATTAGGTCCATTTTAAAGATATACTTGCAGTAATGATTCCATAATTTTTGTAGAATTATAAATATTTACCAAAATGCTTCGCTATTAAACCCATTCAGACGTTTAGAAACCAAAATTTCATTACAGCCAGGTTTACATTTGTCTGACGTGTCATGTCGTGACGCGTCAGAATGGTATCGGTGTCATACATTTATTATGGTTACATTTATTAAAATACGTCAGACAAATGTAAATTCGGGATAAGTTATATTTTTATTTATCGATTTCTTCGGTTTTCGCGATTGTTACACATAGGAAATTAAACTATTTTTTCGGCTCTAAATTACGTATATTGTTTTTACACAACAAACCAACGTTCACAGGCTCAATGGTCAGTCAGCCGTGATGGTTTCATTTTCTATTATATTTAGTTGTTGATTTTCGACGGCGTCCGCGCCGTTCTTGGATCACCACAGACTATCACCGTCGAGTTGTTTTATATGCACAACCCGACAAATACTGAATGGTCTCCATTTTGAATCTCAACATTTACTATTAAGGTTTACTTTATATTAGACATAAGAAAATTAGACCAAATAAATATTATTTTCTTTCCTCAGTGATAATAAACAATTACGATGTAAGAAAAATTCATGAATTATTATTCATACAGGTTTTTCCGTGTATTTTTACTATGAATGGACATATAAATCTCACTGCACTTTAACAGGTGAATTAACAAAGTATTTAAATTATGATACAGTTTAATTATTTTCTATCAAAACGCATTAACGTTCTACATTTTCAATCCACAAAAGTATAAGTAGAAATATACAGGAAACAAGGCAGAGTTGCCACGAGTTAGAGTACTGCTACCAGGAAGACAATATTAAATCCAGCACAGACAGAATATTTTCATCTGTTAATTTTAATACTTTTACGGGTTGGCAAAGTATGACAGTGAAACCATTAAACTAAATCATTCGTATATTTTATACAAATGACACATTGGTATAAAATACAAGTATTTGCACATTCTAGTGAATGTGCAAATACTTGGCGTGAAAATATTCCGTCGGTCACTGTGCGCAGGACAACAGATGCACAACAAAACAGATTGTGTTAAGTTTCCATAGAAGAATGGATATCATACAATGAAGAAGCTCAATTTGGTCAAAAAAACAATTTAATACGTATTCATTAGAGATCCAGATAAACAAAGTATATATTAAGTAAGTAATACACATAGAGTCGATAATATCTCACACGTATATCCCGGAACATATATATATATTATAATAATATTGAACTTTGTTCAATGATCTTATACTCGAGATATGTTACGTTAGGTAAATATACTTTGCCTATACCCATCCTATACTGGTCTCCGGTAATCACTATAGTTAAACATAATTGTGATTATGTCGACGTGATTATTTACATTGTTCAAGCCAGAAATGACGTAAGAGTTGATATTAACTATTCGTTGATATTTACTATTACATTAAAAAAACTGCAATACTCCAATATTTGTGATGAGAGTTCATTAAGATGTGGTCTAGAGAAACGATTTTCAATATCTTCAAAAATATGCCTATAGTCACTAAACTAAGCGACATACATTTTTTTGTCGTAAATATTAATACAACGATCGAACACTCAGAAAAAATTCACTCGATTCATTAATTCATTCGATCCGGCCGGATTCGAACCGACGCCTTCTAGCAAACCGTGCCAGACGCTATGCCAACTAAGCCACGGAATGACCAGCGGACCTCATGTATCACGTAATAAATTTATTTTAATTGGAGAATTTACTACATTTTTACACTGTTTAATTGGTATGTTTTGATTTCTATAACACTACATACAACTTGTTCAATACGATTGCATCCATCTTTCAGTACACTTATACTAAACATTTCGTTTACATCGTGAGAACAGTGATGCTAATTAACAATTATAGCTGTATTATTATTATCTATGCGTAAAAATTATGATAGACAAATTACAAAGTAATTTTAGAACAATGTATTCGATAATTCTGTAAAGAATGATGGGCAAATTTCTATAAAAATAAAAATTGGGCTTAAGACCAACAGTGATGTGACTAGCGCTAATATTTTAGAACTCGTTTGTTAGTGATTGTATCTCGATAGAGTGAACTCGATGTAAACCCAAAAACTTTACAATTGTAATAAATGATGTGCGGGGCGACACATGGCTCATGTCGTCTCAAACCGAGGTATCATCAACGACATGAGCGTAGCTTCTTAAATTAAGGTTTATTACTTGTTTTAATTACCTCTATCCCGACTATTCGGCAACTTTGATACCTATTGTCATAGTCACGGAAGAAAAAAACAATGGAGGAAGTGCCTTAAGCCTCGATTACTATGAAAACCGATGTCGCCAAAAGTCACACATTCTTGATGTTTATTGGTCGTAGTTTCAAATTGCTGAACGACGACGAATTGGAGTTCTCCAAACAAGAAGCGACTTTATTGCAGGGGTTAAGCTTTACTTTCGTTTCTTGTAACAAAAAATTATTTCGATGAACAGAAAATTGAAAATGTATTACAAAAAATGTAAAATGTATTGTAAAATAAGACTTTCCGATGATATGAAATACCACCACGGGTAATGTTTTTGGTGCGGCTTTCATTTTTGCACTCCAAAACAGCACAATAAGGCATTTTTCTAGAATTTTAGAGAATTTTCACGAAAGAATGACACAACCAACCATACAAAGCGAAATGGCGGACTGAGCTCAGAGAGGTCTTTCGAGACCTATGTATAGTTGGCACGTGTCAGATGCTAACTAACCAGTTCTACTGTATTTGGGCAGTTTTCATGAAATTTAGAAATTCGTGCTTCGAATATTTATGAAAATTATTAGGAAGAATTTGTATTTATTTTTCGTCAATTACGTAGTACTTATATAAATAGTTTTTAATGATATAGTGGTCCCCAAAATAAATGACTTTTAAGAAAACGTATAGCGCAGTCAGAACATTTGAGGGCGAAGATGACGGTGAGGGAAGAACGAAATCAAAATAAACCAAGAAAAATAGCGATATAAACTTACTTTAAGACTTAATATTTTGTGTAAGCTTCCTGCTACCAATAACTCATCTCAGTGTATAATTAATAAATAAAATCAAATGCTTAAGTTCTTTTTATACGATGTGAGTGAATGACTGTCAAAAATGTAACTTTTAGAATTTTAAATTAAATCTTTTCATAGTGAAAACGTTTTACACACACAAGTTGAATTTCGTCATATTGAAACGTTTACAGTGCTGCTTACTTTTAAAAACTTACAAAATGCAATTACCCCAGATTAAAAATGCGTTCACAAATCGAGTGAAGGTAAAAGTGTGAGGGAATGATTTTTTGGTTGGGACATGAATAATAATACATTTCGAGTTCTTAGGTTTTTGCGATTGTTACACATAGGAAATTAAACTATTTTTCCGGATTTAAATCGCGTATATTTGTTTTTTCAAACAAACCCACGTTTCGGGCCCTTTACAGGTCCCATGGTCAACCGTGACGTCACGTAACGTAAAGTCCCAAGTTAAATCGCATATATTTGTTTGAAAAAACAAATATAGGTAATTTAAATCCGGAAAAATAGTTTCATTTATAATCCTATAAATAATATATTTTTTAAATTTATATATCTATAGTGTTTTTACCACAGGATAGCTTTGATTTTGCAAAAACGTATTTTATTTCATCGAATGTTTAATCTATAAGGTTATTTTTGTTAAATATGTTAACCTAAAGCACATGTTTGATTATGGAACTTGGGACATAATGAGGGAATGATTTTGGGGATATTTTTATATTATTATTTTATTATGAAATAGACTAATCAATAATTATTAATACAAAGATCGAACACTCAGAAAAAATTCCTTCGATCCGGTCGGATTCGAACCGACGTCTTCTTGCATACCGTGTCAGACGCTATACCAACTAAGCCACGGAACGAACCAACGGACCTCACGAATTTTTCTATGTGCTTGGGTCGTGTCTTTGTACTTGGTCTTTCAACGACTTTTTAGTCGTAGCTACTATCAATTAGTAGACGTAGACTAATCAATATTATATGTAGGCATAAGTAGCAATTGATTATAATTTGATATTAAATATTAATTTTACTGCAAGAATTAAATACTTTTTTTATAAACCTAAAGGATAAGAATATCGAGATTTTGTAAGAATTACCCATTTAGTGTTCTGTGGTCATAGTATTATTTTATGAATGAATAATAAGTTTTCTTTTAAGGTTTAAACCAACTCCGTTGGATGTACGCCCATTTTAACTCATCATTCTTTCCTCTGGACACGTCACAAATCACAATTATGTTCAAATTTGATGTTGTTTTGTCTAATGTTTAGCCAATTCTGAGCACATAGAAGTTGAATGCATAGTCCATGCTGACACTGCGCTACTGCTAATGTTCGATCTGCACTCACCTTTTCCCTAATCTTAGTTTCGGGCTTGAAAATTGAAATATTTTTGGTTACATCAAATTCAATTAGTTTGTTCAAAATTTCAGAATTCAACAGTTTATAAGATGAATTTTAGAAGAATATATTTCAGTAGTAAGTTTCTTTAAAAATCTATTTGGTCAACTTCATTTTGATTGCGATAATTTTGAAAAACTGATTTTGTGCCACCCAGTTAAAAGTAATCCTGCAAGTGAAATAATGAAAAAAAGATGATACTAACAAAATTTACAATTGGTGGTCCTTATAGTTATTAAACGGCGTCATTCAAAGCCCTTCATCTAATCAATATAATTCCAAAAATATTTAATATATTTGTTAACTAGTCAGACTCACTTAGAGGTCTCCGGCAATCCGGCGCTGAGTTCCAAGAAGACAGACAGATAGTTCCCCCTAACGACGCCATTTCCGTCAGGGTAGACCTTCAAGCGCCAGCACAGACCGTTCACGTGCAACGGAGCTGAGTACACCGGCGCCGCCGCATGTTGTAATTGCGTGAAGTTCGTTAACGGAAAAGTACTGCTGTCGTAACTTGGCACGATTTCACTGGGAAAACAAAGTCACTGTTTAAAAACGTAGTCATTTTAGTTATTTACTTACATGACATGTGGCAATTACTTTATTTTTAGTTATTTATTTATAGAACGATTACCTTTTACAACAATATATTCGATAATCCTGCAAAGAATGATGAATTTACACCATCAACTTAACACCCCATTGCAAAACCAATCTTGGCCTTCAATCTCCTTTGATCGGAATTTTCAATGAGTACAATGTTATGAGTGTAATGTTACTTTACAATTTCTTAAAATTAAGACCTACAAACAAAATTAAGAAAGATTTATTTATTCTACCTCAATTCGGTTTATAGGTCCTAATTTCAAAAATTTATAAGATCTCTGCTATAATCAAGCATGTTTTTAAAAATGTTTGAACAAATAATTCAACCTCCTTTTTTTAAAACGTTGTCAAAAAACGGGTTTTCTTCATTTTATAATAATATTTTCTTAATTATATTAACTTCAAATGTCTGTAAAAAAGATTTCAAACGACACAGATGCTTAGAACACGTTTTATTAGACCACGTACACCTTACTTTATTTAAATAAAATAAAAAAGAATTTATTTATTTAAACTAGTCATTATTAGCAAACAACTTTTAAATTATTGCATTTACCTAAAAAAAAGTTTAGGTTAAAAAGTTTTTAGACTTCGTCCAATGGAACCATGCCTGCAATGCTTCTAAATAGTCCATACTAGCTACCCTCAATCACCCTGTGGATGCGAGTGGTTTTAAAATGTTACAATAAGAAACAATAATTGAATTTTTCCTTTATTTTTCTTACAAGTTTTTGCCCATAAGCTACAGTTTATGTGCAAAAATTGCAATATTAAAAAAACTTCTTCATAATTTATCTAAATGACACTAATAATTACGCTAACAATTCTGGAAAGACTTCAAGTATGGTTGATAGATCTGTTACTTATTCCTGCCTTGATCATTGACATACAAATAAATGGACGTCGGGTCCGCGCTAAAGTGTCCGAACTTACAGGGCGTTAAAATCGTATACAAAGCGTCAATCACGCTTTAGTCTTCGTTTGTTCGCCTGACTGCGCGTCAATGATGCCGTATTGTGTGGTAAAACCTTGTAAAAATTACTCAACTATAGTGAAAAAACAGGATGGTATATCATATTTTCAGTAAGTACTACATTGTGTCATCATAGTTATCATTTAAAAGTGTTATTTTGTGCACTAGTATACATAGTATTTAATTTATATTTAAATTAATTGTAAATATAAAGTTCGAAAGCAATCAAAATAATCAAATAGCTAACTGTCTCTTTTTGAATCATTGCTTGCGTAAAAGACGTCGAGACCCATCACGTCAATTTCAATTGTTTGAAACACAAGCGTTTGAAATATTTAGAACAAAAATTTCATAGAGTCGCTTTGATGCTAATGTTATTATTAAAATATTTTTTAATACATGTTAGTAATACTTTCAAATATTGTTGTACTCTTTCTACGGCTCGGGGTTACGAATCAGTAGACCGAAAATACATTTGCCAGAAATAACGTTTGCATGAACTTCCATAATCCCAAAAGTAATTTTTTAGGTTTTTCGGGAGAAATATGTGTATGGCCTACATTTATTTCTCTCGTGAGTTTGGGTGTAATTTGTGGTTGTCTATATGTGTGTCCATGGCACCCACGACACAGGGTTTCCCTAATGCGGGGCAATATTGAGTGTGTGCGTTATTATAATTATTATTATTAATTTGTACCTAAGTGTTTATTTTGGAAAGCGTTTCTCTTGCCCAATCAATATCGCGCATTTTAATTTTGTAATTATCTCACAACGGCAAATACCCTACTACCGTCATAGCCGTTCTTTTTCAAGCACAAGAAACATTTGCAAGGACTATGAGCAGTACGACTATGCCTGTTGACGGAATCAACCGTTGTCAGTGATAAACCGTAATAATTATATTGAATCAATGTAAGCACTACGGCATATAGAAAAGTGGTGACGTTTTTGAGCGCAGTATAATTTCAGTACTATGCACGAACGGGTTAACAAAAAGGGTAACAAAAGAAAGGAAACCAGAGCTGATGCAAGCTTGATAAAAGACCATAATATTAAAGCGTTGGTATGTGATTACATCAATGAGTGAACTGTGCATAGAAAGGAGAGAATACAGGAATTTATCCAGGAAACATAGCTTGAACTTAAGAAGAAGTGACAAGTATTAACAGAGAACATCTTACACCGCCAAAATGCATCAAAAATCAAAAGTTGGATGCATGACAAAATATACCAACTTAAGAAACAAAGAAGGTAATTGAAGCAGACTGACAGTGCAAATTAAATAGGATTTTTGTTAAAGTTTAAGTAATTTGTAGCTTTCACTTGCAAACAATGCATAATAATACAAATAGTACAACCTTGATAGCCTAACGGTTTGCACTGTGGGCACTGGATGAGAAGTTCCTGAGTTCGATACCGGTAGGATCAATTTAACAAATTAACTTTTCTAAATGGTTCTAGTCTTGGTATTATATTGTAAGACAATCACCTGGTCTGAAACTAGGGAACTCTCTGTACATATTCCCCATGAGTATCAGAGCAACAGAATGCCAGAGCAGAACCAATTTACTAAAGTTCATTTCCCAAATTGGTTCTACTGGGAATCGAACCTGGGACCACATACGATGGAATTTATTCCGGGGCATAACTCAGAATACCCAGGCCAAAACAACTTTCGAAAAGTTCACATTTAGTTTTATAGTTGATTGAGCTGATTTTTTACGGTTTTTAAAAAAATTATCGAATAACTCGGGAATCGGGTACGAGAATTTCCGAAACTCAAGAAAAAAAAGTCAAATACCCTACCTCGTAATAAATGGCATTGTATAAAATTCAACATTTACGTATAAAATTTATTTATAAATAATAAAGGCTACTCTATTATACCTGTGTTCAAGTAGTTTTCACTAGAAGCTACATATGGTGCATTTTGGTAATTTTCCAGTAGAAGCTGAATATGGTGTTTTTTTTGCGCCTTTCAATTGTTGCAAGCAAAATTAGGCAGTACTGCAATGACATTACAATTTAAATTCAACGTTTTAGCTTTTTCATATTCCTTTACATGTCACTACGTTTAAATAGGTTGACTTGGGACATTTTTTTCGTGGTTTTTGTATTAGACCCGTCGTCCATTTATTTGTAAATCAATGACCTTGATGCAAACTGTACATTTTTCTTACCTATGAAAATCAGCCGGCACGGGTGCGGTCACGAAACTAGCCATCGGCTTCTTGCGAATTTGATGAATCATCTTTGACAGTTCGCCGCTTTTGGCTATCATTTCCGACCTGATAACAAAAGGTGATTATTTTTACAAAACCATTTTTGTCTCCTGCTTTGGTTAACATGTTTGTGTCCACATTTACCTTGTACTGGAATGTAGTTGATGTTCAATCTCTTGTAGCAAGTGCTCAAGCTGCTCGGTCTCCTGCGTGAGACTGTTTTTCTGACCCATCAGTGTAAGGAGTTTGGCCTTCAGCGCGGAGTCCAGCCGCGAGATCATTAGTTCCACAGCGTTGCGAATCTCACGGACGCGCTCGTCTTTCGCTGCTCTCACGGATTCTACGTTTCGCTCCTGCAAAGTACAATATCTGGAGAGTCAAAAAAAATAAACCAAAGCAGTTTCTAAATAGTGCTGCATTTGGAGATAAGGAACTGCCTATGACATTATGAGAAGGACATATTTCTTTATTTATATATAATCCAGCGGGATCCCGCAACCTTCAACAGGTTTTCGGTCTATTTTGTGAACAGCACATCACACACAGTTTTGTTCGATTTTTTTTTTTATGATATTTAGTGACCGGACGAACAAGTCTAAGTCTATGTATGGAGTAGGGAGGGTAGCATTTTTGTCAGCCGCAATAACTCGTCACCAGTATTTGCTATACGTGCGGAAACTGACTTTGCTCGTGTTTTAGATTATTCAGGACCTGCTCCTACAAAATGAACTGTTTGAAATAATGGTTGTACCACTAATTGTAATTTGTTTTATTTACTTATTGTTATTGCTAAGTTTCATAGAATCTCTTGCGCGTGTATTATTTATTATTCATGATATTACTCAAAAGTGTATTTACATTGTTTTGTTTTACTTCTTGTATGTGTTTCTGTTATTTTACCTTAAATTGCATTATTATGTTATCTAGTATGGATATTTTAAGTTTAATTTTGAAGCTGTTTTCGATTTTGGTCTCCACTGTGAAATGGACTGATGAAGTTTTAAATTTTCTTTTAAATCAAATCTCCTTTTATACAAGCCATGTACATACACACTTTTACACCTACATTTTCCCCATTTGGACACATTTATATATACTTAATATTAATACTTTTCACATGCCCAATTAATTACACTCTTTTACGAAATGGTTAGGTAAGTGCTGGATCCTTAAATACCAAAAATAATGAGTTCCTTGCTGCTATAGAGCGTCATTCTCCTGACATACTAGCCATTAACGAAACTTGGCTTCAAAAAGGACAAGAAGGATGTGCGCCTGTGATGCAGGGGTATCGCTTTATACACATTCCACAGACTTTGGGAACACGAGCTGGTGGTGAAGTTGCTTTCTATATTAAACGTGACCTTAATGCCCGTAAACACACCCACACACCAGCTGCAAATGTGGAACAGTTATGGATTAACATGACGATTAATTGTAGTCGTATTTTAGCAGGTACCGCATATCGACCTCGTTGGCTATGTGTGGATGAATTCTTGGACGCTCTAACGGACTCCATAACATCATTTTCTAATTTTGGATACAATTGTACTAGTGGGAGACTTTAACATAAACCTCTTACAGTATAACAGCGGCAACGCCAAAAGGCTGCAGTTGTTTTTTAACACTAGGAACTTGACAAATTATGTTTCTTCACCAACACATTTTACCTCGCATAGTGAAAGTCTCATTGATCTATTCTACTCTGATCATAATGTTCTAAATTTGGTTGTGGATTACGCTGCGGAATTGGGAGGACATGCAATGGTTTTTGCTAAAATGCATGTAAAAAAGAAAAAGTCAACTTCCCGCTCAATCTCTATAAGACATTTGAAAGATATAGATTTGTCGACATTCTCACAGACATTGGAACAAATGGATTGGAATTATGTAATTAATTGGGAATCTGTGGAAGATAAGGTACATTATTTTAATCTATTTTTAACTATGCTTTATGACAAGTTTGCTCCGTGCCGTAAAATTACAATAAAAGACAGGAATAAACCATGGCTGACAAGCAATGTTCGCCATATGATGGAATTGCGTAATTCGGCTCATATTAAATATAAACAATTCAAAACTGACGAGAACAAAAAAAACTATAAAATGCTTAAACATCTGGTCAATTCGGGTTTGTTCTTAGAACAAACAGCATATTTCTCTCAAAATATAAATAATAATGGAAACAATTCCAAAACACTCTGGAAAAACTTAAAGCGTGATATTTTACCAAATTTTAAAAACTCCTCCAATCTGCCAATCTATTTTAATGACCCTAATCAAATAAACAAACACTTTCTTAATGTACCTGGAGACAGCACCCTTAGTGTAGAAATTATATCTTACTATGAGCATCACACGTCCTCAGAATCCACGTTTAAACTTGTTCTTGTTAAGGAAGACACCATCGGTAGAATTGTTCTTGGATTGAAATCCAATGCATTGGGATCGGATGGTATTAGCGCGGACATGGTACTGTTAACTCTCCCTCATGCTCTTAATGTAATTACTGATATTGTTAATTCGTCAATTATTACTTCGAATTTCCCCTCACGCTGGAAAACACAATAACTTTAAAAAAATTGGAAAACGTAATAACTCCCATTCCCAAGAAAAATAGTCCAGAAAATGTGAAAGGTTTACGTCCCATAAGCATTTTGCCCTATCTTTCAAAAATTTTAGAAAAGATCGGGTACTTGCAGTTGTTAAAATTCTTAGAGGCTAACAATGTCCTGCCTGTGATGCATTCGGGTTTCAGGAAGGGGTGCAGTACAAATACTGCCTTACATGACGTCATAGACGAAGTTCTCTATGCTCAGGATTCTGGCAAGGGAACTGCTTTAGTACTTTCGGACTTTTCCAGAGCCTTCGAGTCCATTAATATTCCATTACTTATTTCAAAATTAAAATAGTACGGTTGCGACTCATCGGCTTTGGAATGGTTCAGGAGTTAGTTACCTTACTAGCCGCACGCAACAACTAAAATTGTCGAAATCGAGTGCTGTTGACAGGGGCGTGCCGCAAGGCTCTATATTGGGGCCGTTGCTATTTGCACTTCTTGCTACTTTACACTTCAAATATCACGGGCTGCATTAAAAACTGCAAGTATCACCGCTATGCGGATGATCTTCAGTTACATCTGTCTTTCCATCCAGATAGAACCGCCGAAAGTACAAGCCTCATTAATGAGGATCTACATCGCTTAGCTATTTGGTCCAGGAACAATACCTTGGTCTTGACTCCAATCAAATCTCAACTTTTGATTGTGAGAAACAGCCAGTCACATGCGCCAGTTCTTTCAATTAATGGTGAGAAGATAGCTCAGGTAGTGGAGGCCCGAAATCTGGGTATAATTATGGACGGTCATCTCAAATTTGACACTCATGTGGCCGAACTTGTTCGCAGTTGCTTCAATAGGTTAAAAGTGATCTACAATATTCGACCGTTTCTCAGTGTTGATTTGCGTATTTCTCTATGTGAAGCATTGATATTATCTAAGATCAACTATTGTATCACGTCGTATGGTCCTTGCCTTTTGTCTAAATCACAAACTTCTGCAGCGTGTCCAAAATGCATGCGGCAGGTTTTGTTTTTTTATACCCCCTCGTACTCACCGTCACTCCTTATCTCAATGCTGCAAATCTACTAAATATCGGGTCTCGTCAAAATTTCCTATATGCAGGACTTTTATTCGATATAGTTAAAACTAGAACACATGAATATCTTTATGAGAAACTTATGTGGTCATCTAGTGTTAATGTACGCTACAGAGAGCGATCTGTCCGATCATGTGTCCTTATGGTACCATAACATAGAACTGCAGCTTTTCGAGGTAGTTTCAAATACTCGGCCTCAAAGTACTGGAATAATATTCCACCACCTATACGCAACGAGACATCCAAACCCAAATTCAAAGCACTGTACCGGCAACACCTACTCTCACTTAAAAATCTGTGTAGTGTGTTTTTATTCTTTAACGTAGTCCATCTAGAATCGAATTTTATTGTTGCTTTGAAGTATTCTAATTATGTGTATAATTATATTATAATAATAAATACATTACACAACATTAAAACCTCTTTACAGTCACAACTTACTCCTACAGCTATAATTATATTCACATTCGCTCATGCATTCACATGTCAAACAGGTTATTTTTAGATGCTCTATTTACCCTTTACTATGTATATTATTATTGTCAATATATAACTTTACTCATAGTCGTTATATTTTTGTTTTCAAATAATTTAATCCCTCTCGTTGGTCCGGACTGAAAACCAGCGCCTTAGGAAACTTTGGCATATACTGATCAGCGCCGTTTCACTGCTAAGACAATCAAGTTTTGGTTTTCTTTTATATTTAATCTGTACTTGTGTTATATCAGTGAATAAAGTGTTTATCTATCCATCCAATGCGTGCGCATAGTGGTACGCGTCACGCCTGTTCATAACAGTTGGGCGCCGTGGCAGTGCCCTTTAAGCGGCACTGCCACTGCGCCCGTCACCTTGAGACATAAGTGAAAAGTCTCATGTGCCTGTAATTTCACCAGCACCCCTTACCCTTCAAATCCGGAACGCAGTAATGTTAACATTATTGCTTGGTGGCAGAAATGGGTAAGGTGGCAGTACTACGCTGGATGAACTTTATATCTTTGAATATCACCTCCAGGGCAATTGAACAGGATCCGTCAATGTGCTGTTTTATATGCTGCTGTCCGTACACATACAGATATTAGCATTTCCTCAAAAATTTGATTTTTTCGTAATCAACTGTTAGTAACCCAAATTATAATCCAAATGTTGTTCGAAAAAAAGAAAGGAGATAGAAGTGAATTAACGGCCGTAAAGTAAGAAAGAGATATGCATTTACGCGTTTTAAGGGATTACATACTGGAACACAATTAATAATGTGTGTAAAGGTCTATAGTTTTATATTAAAAATATATGCATATGCTTATAATTATGTATGAACAAAGAAAAACATTTAAATTTAAATCTTATCTTACCACATCCCGGACGAGACTGATAAGCTCCAAGAGGCGTCGGCGCAGCTGGGCTACCTCGTCGCGTATCTGCGTCACGTGCTGCTCGTACACCTCTTCCAGCGGCTTGAAAGTGTGTCCCGAGTGTGTGCCGCCCCATAGAGCGCACTGATGGCAGATGCAGCGGCGACATGTCCAGCAGTACACAGTCAGCTTCTCTTGATGAGTAGGGCACCTGTTTAGAGTGCATACTATATTTAATACCTTAGGTTCATTACTGCCAGGTGGTGGACTGTTTGATGGTGACTTCTTTAATGTCTTCATTTATAGATAAAGAAAGTTTCTTGAATCTAAAAAGATTTATGTAGTAATAATGATGAATTTATTACTCTCCACAAATTTTGATTATAATTTTTTGTTACGAAAACTTTTACACTGTTATACTCTTCAATTTCATTCATAAATTTTTATACACTATCGTGTTCTTTGTTGTTTCTTTATAACATAAATTAAAATATTTATTTAACATCTCTATCGAATTTGGAGAATATTGAGAAGAGAGTTGGGGAGTTTGGAAGCCTAATACACAGATCTCTTGATCTAGTTTAGATTCCAGTATTCTACAAATTTTGTCCTTATATTTATTTGATTGTAAATTAGGATGGATGTCGGACGAAGAATGAGAGTAGACCCCCTGGTTAGTCAATTAAAGGATTTTTAATATAATAGCTTTTTTATGAAATATAGTACAGTATAATCTTTCTTGAGGATTATATGTATATGTCAAGTAAAGTAATCACATAAGTTTAAAAACAAAAAGTTATTTCAAATTTAAAGATTATCACCCTATAAGCGAAGTTTCTAACTCACCTATTTAAGCATAAAAAAATTATGGGCCAATTTAGTTTGAACAATCTTTAGACCTCTTTCCTGAAAAGTTGTCATTTTGCAGATGTGGTCTTATTACACCACAGGTGCGAAATTAGGGTGGCCATTTCTTGTTCCTCTCGAATAAGCTTCTTAGTATAAACAAATCATAAATTATTTATACTTAAATTTCAAGCTGGTTAAATATACACTATTAAAACAAAGTTTATGTCAAACAAAATCTACACAACTTTAATATAATTATTTACTTTATTTATTTACTTTTAATATATTAATACAAAGATCGAACACTCAGAAAAAAATCCTTCAATACGGTCGGATTCGAACCGACGTCTTCTTGCATATCGTGCCAGACGCTATACCAACTAAGCCACGGAACGAACCAACGGACCTCACGAATTTTTGTGTGTGCTTGGGTCGTGTCTTTGTATTTGGTTTTTCAACGACTTTTTAGTAGTTTGTCGTTTTTTAGACTTTTTTTAATAATTTCACAAAAAATAATTGAATATCATTTCAATAAAAATTTAATTAACATTAATGTAGTCAAAAGTAGATATCCTAGAAACAAAAGGAACAAAATAGAAATACGGCCCAAGCAATACCCCAATTTGGAATTTTACAGTAGAATGATGTTTGTATTAGCACCAAATTGTTTAATAAATTGCCAGATGCTGTTAAAGAATTAAATGGTAGACAATTTAAAATGAAATTGCATAATTTGTTAGATACTCAATGCTATTACAATATTAATGATTTTTACTTTTCATCTATACTTCTATGACTTGCCTATGGTTGCATAGTGCTGTTAAAAAAAACTTTTGGTTCAATCAATTAAAGTCTATGTAATTGATTAATAAATAGAATATTTCAATCGAGATTGAACATTGAAAATAAATATTTTGCATTCTTGAAAGACTATGACCCTATACAAAAGGAAACATCCAGGAATTAATCTAACTGGAAATATTTTTGAAATCAAGTTAAAATTTAAAAAAATGAGACGCATTTAGTTGTTATACTTGACTTAACATGAGTGTAATGTGTATTTATTACATAGTGATATCCTATAACTGTGTGTGCAAAACAAAGTAGTTATTTACTGCGAGATCACAAACTATACAGCATTTAAAGAGTTTTATCATAGTAATATCTACAATAATCACTGTTTATATGTATGTATACATACATCATAATAAACAGCAGACAGTAAATTTATTCTCACTAGAAGTCAAACTGGTATATGTTAGTTGAACCATTTTTAGAATAACAATTAGAATAATATGCAGCTTTATTTACACAAGACTAATAATAGGCAACATGATGTCAGTAATTGCAGATTTTTGGATAAATATAGCAATCAATTGCTATATTTAAACTTCTAAACAAAATAATAAGTAACGATTCATTTCTTATAAGATGTCCCGTAATATAATAAAATTAAATACCGATCCCTGAAGTTCTCTCGCTGGGTGACCGAGTTACTCTGTTGCATAGTTTCAATCTGCTGTGTGACCTCCTCGACCCAGCGGCAGTTGACCAGCTCGTGCAGGTGAAGCGCCGCGCGGCAGTGCGGGCACTGGGACCTCTGCTCTGTCAGCCACCGCCGCACGCATGCGTAGCAGCACAGCTTCGAGCAGTGCGGACAAAGGTGGGCATCCACCAGCTTCTCCATACAGATGAAGCATCGGAACACCTCTGCCAGTGTCTGCAATCGTCCTCATATTTATACATCCTCAACTACCAACTTCTAACTACTGATACGAAGTTATAGTTCCAAATTATAGGTCAATGACTCTCACAGAATTCCCAGGTCCCAGGTCAAGTTGAGCTAACTGTCAAAAAAAGTAGGCCACATCGATTTACCTCAACAATCTGCTCCTCGCCATTTCCGTTCCCTTTATCGCCTCTCGAGGCCATCGCTAGGTTTTACTTTCCTTTTTACGGGGTCGAAGAGTTATTCACCATAATTTAGACAATTTTAGACTTTTCTGAAAAAACAAAAAGACATGTTTCACAATCCGAGTTTCAACAGCGAGCCACTTGACTTGACCGACTACTTCCGCGTTCGAATATCAATCAAAATAAAAACAAAAAACTGTGTTGCTGCTACAGAAGCGTTATTTTCCATAGATAAGATTGCAAGCCGTAATCTATCATTACATCCACTTTTTAGTGAAATGTACCCCGGACGATGACAACAAACGACCGAGCGAGGCCGGGGCGGGACCAGAGAATAAAAAGTAAAGAGAACGGACACTCTCCGCCCCTCCCTAGCTTTAGATACCGCACCACGCCCCGCACATTGCCGGTCATATTGACTGAACGACAACAAGGCTGCCGGCGCGGCGAGCCGTTTTCGCGCGAAGACGGCTTTGATATTTGAATGTAGTTTTCATTTATTCATTACGAAACTTGTACGTTAATTATAAAACATCATTTTCCGTTACTATTTATAATGGTCGTGAATTGTGATGTGTACGGCTGTTTATCATCATTTTCCGAAAGATGAAACGAAGGAAGTAAAAAAAACTTATGTCTGAGACTCATTCAGTTATTGTTTTCTTCATTAATTTTCGACCGTTGTATGAAGTGTCCGGGATGTGGCGGGACGGTGACAACTTGACGGCCTTAAGTAATGATTATAATATAACAGCCAATATGGCCATTCAAATTTGTCGATTTTCTAGCATAGTTAGAACCAGACCTCGCGTTTTCAATAATTCCATCCATGTTTACACAGTAAATTCAATAAGGTATAATTGCTTTACTTTTAAAAAACAAGCTTTAATTAGCTAGCTTTACAAACTAAGCTTTAAGAACACTGAGGATGAAAATGACAGTTTTAGTTTGAAAAGTTTCAATTAACTAGATCGTTTTGTAGGCAAGTAAAAGTACTATAAATTATATTATTTTCACACTATTTGTCAGAAAAAGTGTATGCAGGTAACACTAAAACTAACAGAGTTGCCACTTCAACATTTTACATTTTATTAAGGAAAAACTTTGTTGAAAATTTACATATTACAACGCCCAGTCAAATAATTGGGCGTTTTGAATCTTTGATTACCAACATCAATACAATATTTTGAATGTTTGACACTCAGACGTATAAAAAAACGTGGAAAATAATATTATTGATTTTTTTATTACACCCTGTCAGCCATTAGAACCAATCACTATGGAAACCCTATGTACGCTACGGTCGTTTCATCGTCTTTTCTGTTACAATTACCGTTTATACTTATTTTTGAATAAAAAATATTTGAATTTTGACCTAAATTTTTATTAATTAATGAGTTTGGACAGTTATAAACATTTTTTTAGCGTTTCAAAATGCAAGCAAAATATGATTATTATAACACGATTACATAACCAGTAATGTAACGAAACAATCTGTCAAACGTCCTTCACTCACGATTACCTAAATAACCTCAATGTTTTGAATAACTTTTTGAGTATATAATTTATTATATGGTGAGAATATAGCTTCATTTTGTGAATATTAGACGGCACAACATACTATTTATCTCAGGTAAGTGGCTGTGTTTCGAATTCACTGAGAAATCGTTGAGTTGATGGTTATTACTTTGATCTTGTTTTTATCACAAATGTGTTCATATTCGGCTAATCGATATGTATGTACATTATAAGTAAATTTTCATTCCCTAAAAACCTGCAGCAAACTAGTATCATTTGTTTTATATATACATTACTACTGAAGAAAACCATTACCTAAGATTAACAAGAAATGGAAGTTTGTCGCTCTGTAACGTTTTTGGTACGAAGTTTGTCTAACATTATGGCAAAATAAAAAAATACAGAGTACTGTCGAAGTAAATGAACTTGTAATAACTATTAAACGCCAGATAAATACAACATAACCGATAAACTATATTAAAAACAAGATGTACATAGTGTCACATTTTTGTCTACATCTGTAATGCGCATTTTATTTAATACACTTAGTGAAAAGCATATAAAGCTCCATGCATGCTGTTAAGTTTCTATATAAATTCAAGTATAAGTATACTTGTAAAGTTGACTTTGTAATTATTTAACATTTTAAATATATGTTATGTAATTTCCTTGTTCTGGTAAAATTCCAAAATAAATATAACATAAAAACCAAACATACTTGATTATCCTAATAAAATACAATCGGTTGCATTATCACTTTCTTTCACTTCTTTGCATTCTTCACAATTATTCACACACTCAACATTCACAAAATGTGCTTACACATTTTAGACTAAAATATATTGATGGTTTCCTAGAATATTGATCTTTCTTAAATAAACATAATTTATTAGGAAGACAGTTTTAAAAAAACTGACAAGTGTCCTGTGTGCAATGTCCACAAATTGTAAATCACGTCATATTGTGATTATTTTGACCAATGGAAAGCTCAATGTCTTATTCACTATAAAATTAACACTAACATAAGAAGAACATTTGTTGAATTACATGATGTTTTTTACTACCATGACATTAATTTATTTATTGTGAAAATACTACACTAGTTTGGTGTTGTTATTGATACAAAGATTGAACAAACGCAAAGAAATTTTCTTCGATGTGGCTGGATTCGAACTCGCAACTGTTAGCCAGACCAGGACTGACTACTGAGTTGCAGAACAAACCAGCAGACCTTTTCAATTTCCCTTTATGTTTGTTGCAGTCTTTGTACAAGGGCTTAAACAATTTCTAGTGCTGTAGCACCACCTGTGAGAAAATTATGAAAGAAACTAGAGATGAAATGGATAGTGATTTGGCCGGATACCCGATATCCGGCAGGCACCTAGGTCGAATAGCCGGATATCCGGTCGCCGGATATCTAACCCACTGCTATAAACATGTCGCGACCGGTTTATAGCGCGCATCGCGATGATTGATTGACTATTGAATGATTGCACTTTCACATTGACGTTTTTATTTGTTGTGGTCACTTGGTTTTTATAAAAACGATTAATGTATTCGGTAATGCAAACAAATGCATAACAAAAAAATGTTAACAGTAAATAAAATCGCAAATTCGTCAATATTTTAATATCAGTGCTTGTTGTTTGTTGTGCCGAATGCAAATTTCTCGCGGTGGAGAAGAAAAAGAGTATTACATCATTTTTTGGCTATATTAATATTTCTAGTTGTTACAAGTATAAGCCTAGCACTTGATACAACCGTTATTATTTTGTTTCAATTTGATTTCATTAATTTCTTTGTGATCTAACTAATTCTAAGTCTTGATACCAGATATGCAAAAAAATTATCTACTTATATGTTTCGTTATTGTAGGTATGCAATGTGTACCACATTGCATTTGAAGACAGGTCAAATCTATCGTGATCTTGATTCTCTCAATTGATCATCGGCAATAACAAGTAGTACTTAAAATTTAACAAAGTTTGCAAGAGTTTATAGTAAAAAACTGTCCTCTGTAGCTGGTCTCGTTTATGAAAATAAATAGAACTAACTTCTACCACTTAATGCAGAATAACTAGTCTTCGTCCACCATAATTTACCTACAATTGAAATTTGAGTACTAAATTTACAGATAACGTTATCTAGTCATAGTTCATAGTTCTTTCAGTTTCAAGTAATAAACAGATTGTTAACGATTCTGTAGTTGATGTTTATCGTATTACTATCAAATCAAATTATTTGGCGTACCTACTGATTATGAATTTTCTCAGCTTTAAACATCCGGTATCCGGCCAGATATTGTACTACTATCCGGTATCCGGGTGGATAGTAAAAATAGGCCGGATACCGGATAGTTACCGGATATCCGTTTCATCTCTAAAATAAAATTTCGGAATACAGTCGTGAAATAAATTAAAAATGAGGTATTTTGGTTTCGGCCTCTTTCTAAGGCAATTTCTGAAATGGAATGTAATGTAGCTTATCAAATTATCTACGATCTATTGTTCACAGGATGTTGACTTAAGGCCCCATTCACCACAACAATGTCCTATGTAAAAGTGTTGCATTGCACCTTCTGCATAAAACATGGTGTAAACTTCACTAAACCTGTGCTGCTTCAATTTTCAGTAAGTTTATAATCAACTAAATTTGAAAATTGTCTTTTTGAGATTTAAATTATGGATATTAAAATTATAATTTATTGGCAGAGTAACATACTTCATTTTCAGTCAAATGTTTGGAGCTCCAGGAAGAACAGATAATCTTATAAAAGTCTTATAAGAAGTTTGAAGTACACTAAACTTGCCTTTGTTTATCAACTTTGTTCACAATAACAATCATTATTACGCAGTTTTAAAAATTATTAAATTCAATGCTTATGATGTATTTGTCGAAAACGTGCAAATTGTGCTTACGTTTTTCTTCCCCCAAAAGATGGGGTAAGAGAAAAAGTCTTTGTATTGCAAAGGTATAGGTACACCTCGTGTTCTCAAGACTTCCCAACTATCAAATTAATATTTTCCGCCTTTTGGATTTGGAGCATCGTAGCGACATCTCTTTAAAATCGTTTAAACTAATTTGATTGTCTGTTTTATCAACTGAAATACTATAGTGCTAAACTCTTTAAATTATGAGTTTAGGTCTCAAGTCCCAGTGTTCTCTCTTGTTCATAATCTCCATGTTTAAAAAGAAATCTAAGCAATCACTCATCATTTTAATAAATATTTTGATGTCTCTATGTTGATAAGTCTATATTATTATTATTTGTTTTCAATGTTGACTTAGTAAGGTTTTATGATGTAACAGGGTGGTGTCTAAGTGAACAATCAATGTCATTGAGAAACCTACAACATAGTCTTCTATGTCTTTATTTCTAGAATGACTTCTCCCAACAACTGGCTCGCCTTTCCATATCCCATAGCTGGAGCAGCAAACTGCCTGTCACCACGCAGACACAGACATGTACACCCAAGAGCAAAATACCTCAGGACACCAGAGTATGGAAGGAAACACCGTCACATGATAGAAAAAACAATTTTGGACAGTATTGCATGATGTTATCCAAGTTTCGACTTACTTGTGAGTATTTATTTTATAGACTTTTTGCCTTCTATAACGGCGCATTTTAAATCGTTTCGTAAACTGTAAACATGCACTATAATAGCCTACTGAGTCAGGTGATTTACTGCCATGATCATAATTAGCTAAAGTATGCTCAATGCTGTGTTCCGAGTGACTATTATACTTTACCCGTCGCGTGTCTGTGATAGTCGTGACACAGCGCTTAGTGTTATGTATTGTGAGAAATATAATTCGGTGAATAGTGTTCCTAATGAAACAGTGCAGAAAGTATAAAAAAGTTACTTTAAAATATTTGAAGACAGTATCTTTATTTATTTAGAAAAATCTTGATTATACAGAGTTATGTGGAACATACTAACGACCTCGCAGGACTATATTCCTATCATATACAATAAATTTTGTTGCACGACTTTTTACAAAACATAATAAAGCCGAAAATATATTTTTAAGTTGTACTGTGTAACACTTTTTAAATCTGTATCTGGTAGTAACAAACGTACACGCGTCCTCCAGGAGACTCCCACCCGCACACCAGCGCTTGCACAGTTATAATATAGTATAGATTCTTTTATAATTTTCTTTTGACGTTTATTCTCGTTCGCGTGACATAAACAGACAACCTGACTGGACATAAATCTGTGGCTCTAGTGATAAGGGGTACAAGTCAAAAAACCCAACTTTACAAGAAGACGCGAAAAACAGTTAAAGCTTAATATGATATTGCGAAGTTGTCATAATTTAGAAGTTATGTTTTACAAGTAACCTTGTATATTTTGCAATAAGGTAAGGTGTGCCATACACTTCTTTTTTGTACTTTTCAGCTAATCTTTCTTCATCTTTGGGCAATGTTTTAATACGAGGTATATACGAGTACGTCACGAGGTATATGTCAGTCTATTTGCTCAAAGAACCGTCTACAGCACAATGGATTCATTCATTCCCTTAGGCATCCATCACACTTATTAACGCGGAATCGCCTTGAGCCAATCAAGAGTAACAAACGAGAAAACTTAAGAACTCAATACAGTCAAGAAAACCTTATGTCTATGCAATAATAGCGAAAAAGTCGTTGCCAGTATCCGCCAATGCAACGTGAAACGCCTCTGTCCGCCAACACTAAACACACAACCTCTGTTTCGTTCTTACTACATTGGTCATAAAGCTTTTTGTGACCGGCTTAATGCCACTCTATTTCGATAGGTGTGGTGACTCCCTAATTACGAAGCGTTTGTGATGTCACGACATTTTGTCTAACAATTTTTACTATTAAATGTGCGCACGCCCCTACAAATATCCTTATGTATTTGTATCTAGGTAAACTACGTCATAGTTCCTTAAGGCCAGCCGCAGAATCATACAAATCACGTATCATATTATCACACACATAACAAAAATATAGATTATTATTATTATTACATGCAATACTGTTTTGTTTGAATTCGAAATTCCATATGGCGGCTTTTGCATTTGGAATTCCGCATGGAAAAAGTCGTTACGAATGCAAGTCTATAGATTTTGTTGGGCCGCAACACAGCGTCGTAAATTCCGTACGTATTTTCGCTGTGATAACATCTGTTACAACCTTCTTTGACGCCCGCCGCCTGCTTGGTATGATCGGCCAGCAGGCGGCGGACTGACAGAATGTCTATTTACAAAAATTCTTGTCTTTTGTTTTGGATTTTTTGTTTGATTTTATTTAGAAGAAATAAAGAGAAATAAACGTATGTGTGTAATGTATGTACAATCTCAATACAATATTCCGAAACGGAATTCCGACTTTATGTGGCCGGCCTTACACACTCCTGTGTCTCCAATGATGTAGGCCTGCTTACATATGTATCCTGTACATAAAACTGTAATATATTGGTAGCGACGTTGCAGGAAGGAAAACTTGTTGCTATTAATACCTACTAAATATTAGCATTGGTTAGGTTGCATGATATGGGAAGAAGTAAGCAACAAAATAAACAAGAGATAATAAACTGCGTACAAATATTCAGGCCTAGGCTTTAACGCTGCATTTTCCAAACCGAAACCGAAACTGACATGCGGCTTTTTGATTTTGGCTAAGATAGGAAATGAAACTATTTTTCCGGAAAATTTTTAAATCGCGTATATTTGCTTTTTCAAACAAACGAATGTTTCGGGCCCTTTACAGGTCACATGGTCACGGCTGACTTGTTAAGATTTTTCTATTAATCAGTCTAAACTATGTCAGGTAGGCTATGTTGTGCAATGTACGACCTTTACTTGATGAATAATGTATTCTAAGAAACCTGCCGTCTTAAGAAAATAGTTTCTTTCTTCCAGCATTAGTTGTAATGACGTCAATGGCCGGCTACGCTCTTGCACCAGCGCCGTTCGAGCTGATGACGTTCGCGCTATGTGCCGCGGGAACTGGCTTGGTCTCAGCTGCTGCTAATTCTATCAACCAGTATCATGAAGTGCCGTTCGATGCTCAGATGTCGAGGACTAAGAACCGAGTACTTGTTAAAGGATTATTAGAGTAAGTAGTTTTGGTTAATATTGATATGATTCACACTCATCATGTTGAAAAATT